TCTCTCTCTCTCTCTTTCTCTGGTTTAATTTATTATTTATTTAAATTTTGCAACTTTTTCTTTTAAGATAAAATTCCTGATTATGTTATGTTTAAATTAAATATAATTTATTGTTAAAAATCCCCTTTTTAGAATGAAATTTGTCAACTTTAAATTATAAAATACGTGTATAAAAAAAATATTAAAAGTTTATTAATAAATTTTTTTTATTATTTTCCATAAAATTTTCGATACGTGACGTGACGTGTACGTAACAAAAATTTGGCGCCAAATAAATAAACATTGGAAAAATAAATTTGGCAACGTCGAGTAATTCGAACGCTCCTTACAAATGTTAATAAAAATAAATAAATTTAAGTCTAGATTTTTTTTTTTTTAATTTTTAGTGTTTTATAATGTCGAACAGTTCTTACGATGCAGTCGCCGAAAAAGTTTTATTCGATTTGGAATTGGCAATCACTAAAGATCCTTCAATGTAAGTTTTATTTTTTATTTTAATATTCATTTTAAGTGAAAGGAATATTTTAACCCTAATTTTTTTTCGTTATTAACAGTATTTTTTACATTAACTTTTTTTTTTTTTTTTTTTTTTTTTTATTGTCTGTTGCTAAGTATTAACTTTATATGAATAATATATAAATATATTTGTAAAAAGATTTTAAGTCATTTTACATTTTTGTTTTTTTGGGTGGTTATTGAAAAAAATTTTTTTTTATTTGTCAGAAATGAATTTTATATCATTCCAACGTTGGAAGAACAAAATCGAAACAGTTCACCTATTTTGAAAGGAGAAAATACTCTCGGTTTGGAATCATGGATTGTGTGTCACATTTATCCCTATGCTCACAGACAAATATTGCAAAAAAACAATTACAGGACTCAGAATCTGTGCAAGGTCATACCTTGTTTAACAGGTGTCACTTTATTAAATCCAGAAATGTCAACTGCATGGAATAAAAGAAGAGAATTAATCATTGCCAAAAAGTTACACGTCGATAATGAATTAAGATTAACAAGAATGGCTTTGACGAGAAAACCGAAATGTAACGAAGCATTATCGCATAGAAGATGGGTTATAATGGAAATATTAAAAGATGGTAATTAAAGTTTATCAAAATTAAAATCAAATGTAACGACAAATCATTTATAATTTTTTACATTTTTTAATTTTTTTGTTGTTTTCAGTTCAAAATAAAACGACTTTGTTGAATGAAGAACTTGCTTTGTGTGAAATAATTGCCAACAGACATCACAGTAATTATTATGCATGGAATCATAGAATATGGTCAATGCAGTATTTATTACCCGATTTTTCTTTTCAAAATTTCAATACCAAAGCGCAGAAACCTTCATTTTTTGAAGTTCTCTATAATAAATCATTTGAAATTGTCAATCATCCTGTGTCTGAATGTGAGTTACTTAACTTAAATAATTATGAAATAACAAACATGTATTTTATTGAATTAGATAATAATTTCAAATGGGTTTCATCTCACGTGTCCGATTATAGCGGATTACATTTTCGTACTTTTTTGTTGACGGAAATTCTTTCTTACACGTATAACTTTTTAACATGTTTCAATCGGAATAATTATCAATCTGACGTTCACAATTTAAATTGTAACTTTGTACCTTCGATAATTAGTTGTGGTAAATCGAATTTAACAGAATTTTTGACAATGTATAATTTCGATCAGAATCAAAAAAAAACCATTGATAATTACATATTGAAATTAGAAAAAAAATTGACATTGGTAGACATTGCTTTGTTTTTAATAGTGGCTGAATTAAAATCGAACATTTCATTGAGTTTGGTTTTTCCAAATCACGAAGCCGTTTGGAATTACAGAAAATTTTTAATATACAGTTACATGCATGTGATAAATTGTTTAGATTCTTGCAGTGATTGCGATCAAATTAATTCTTTGCATCAGGATCAAAATGGCATCCCTTGCAAAAAAGATTTTAAATTCGATTATGAAAATGAAATGTTTACATTTAAAAAACATTCGAATCTTTTCAATGCTTTTTTTTCCGGGATAATAAACAGTGAAAAAAAATTTTTATCCGAAGTTTGTTCGACGAATGAATACACTAAAACATTAGTTAGGAAATACAGTCATTGGTTAGAAAATTCATTTAGAAATAATTAATTAATGTTATTGTATTGTTATTATTATCATTTATTTTTCATATTTCTTACATTGCAATATATATATATATATATATTAACTTGGCAAGTTAGCTTTAATATTTATTAAAAAAATATAAATGTATATTTAAAAAAAAATAGTTTTAAAAAAAAAAAAACAAATATATTTAAAGAGATTTTTATTAAATTACAATTTATAAATTAGTGATGTAGTAGAATTTTAAAACTATTTTTCCCATGTTTTTATAGAATTTTACTAAAAAAATTTATTAAGAATCATTAGAAATATACATTTTTAAAAAATTATTTTGTATCTGTCAAATCGACAAAAATAATTTTTAAATAACAAATTGTGATATTTTTTTTTTTATTTTTTTCTATTTTTGGGAAAATGTTTTTTTTTTTTTTTTAAATTTATAACACTGAATCATAGTTTTTAAATTGATTTTTTTTTTTTTGTATTTGTTTCGGTACAAAGATTTTGTTTAAATTTTCAATATTTCTTATCAGTTCTTATATTTAAATCATTGTTATCTATTACTCGTCTCGTTATTTGTTTGATAATTTTTTTTTTTAAATTTACTTTTAAAAACAAAATTATGTAAAATATATGTACATATATATTTAATTTTAATTCTGTTTTGTTTTTTTAATAAAGAAAACCTATTTTTTTTGTACAAATATACGTTAAAAAAAGTTATGAAGGAGAAGAAGAAGGTATTGACAAATACATAAGAATAGCTTTAAGCGAAATTGATCGGAGGTTTAAACTGTGAATTTATTGGTTTGATAAAGACACGACAATTTAATAATAGCAGGCGGTGATTTTGCCCTAAAAATGTCTGTCTAATTCTGATTAGATTATGATTTCATTTGTGGTTAATAAGAGTTTGTTAAATAATTTAAAATGGCCAATATAATAAAGTTTCATATGACAAATTATTGTTTTTTATTTTATCCTATATTTCATAATTAATAGGATAAATATATATATTTTTTTTAATAAAAAAAAAAATGAATCGTCATCAAGTTTTGAGTGGTGCTTGTAATTCAGGGGACCGCTGTTTTGCTGTTGGAAGTGTCGAAGGAATACCTTTCACGGTAAAAAAAAAAAAAAAAACTATTATATTATATTACTTTTTAATCTTTCATTTTTATTTCAAATTTATTTCTTTTACGTTACATTTAAATTTTTTTTTAATACGAACATTGGTAGTAGTAGTAGTAGACATTTACAAATTCCTGTTTTAAAATTAATAATATTTACTGAATTATTAATCATTTATAAAAATAAAATAAATTTATAAGAATTTTATTCCACAAATAAAAATTATACATTAAATTATTACAAATTACAAAAAAAAAAAAAAAAAAGAAAAGAAAAAAAAAACACTTCTTAATATTATCACTCGTGATATGATTTTTTTGATTGTTGACGTTTTGATATTTGATTTTAAAGTATTTGACTTATAAATTAGGCTTTTTAATTTAAAATGATTAATATGATGATGATGATGATTTAAGTAATTAATTTTACATTAATGTTAATTATAAATGTGTATTTTTATTTCATTTAAAAAATACATACAATAAATATTTAAAAAAAAAAAAAAAAAACTTTTTTCTATGTACATTTTTTCGATGATTTTTAATCTATAATGATTACCTTCCTCAATTTTTTTTTTTTTTTCTTCAATTCAAATTGCAAATTATGAAATCATTTAATAATTTTATTATTTCTACAATAAGATATTTATCAATAAGATAGGTTTTTGTAAAGTATTACCTAAAAAATAACTATAATTATTCTTTGAGTTGTAATTTACTCTGCACTATTACTTATCAATTGTATCGACAAAGTTCGAAATATTTTTTTCTTTCAATAACTTTTAACTTTTGATTTTTTAAAATTTTATTTTAAAAAAATTATTAATAGATGACATCAAAAATATATATGCAAATTATGATTGAATATGACATAAAAAAAATTATGAAAATCAATCGAGTTGTTTTCAACATTTACTTTTTATGTTTCGAAAGAAAAATTTTAACATTATAAAGAATAAATAACATTTAACAATTTCAGGCATATGCTGCAGGTTGTAATATAGTAATTTTGGCGAGTAATTTTGAAAGAGTTCAAATAATTCCTGGTGCTGTGCACAACTATGTACGCATTAGTTGTTTGGATAGTTCGACTGACACTGGTAAAATTGCTGCTGCATATGAAAAACAAGTGTGTATATTCGAACCGACACCTTTGATACCGAGTTCCAGCAGTAATCATGTGGTAAGTATTTAAACCTTTCCTACTTCTTAATTTATGAAAATAAATCACACACAAAAAAAAAAAATCATACCTCATTAATTTGTTTTGCATTAATTTTTCACCTGTGAAAAAAAAAAAAAAAAAAAAAAGAATACTGATTATATAATATTTCTTTTTATGTATGACCTTTTATGATTCTATAAAATGTTTTTCATGCCAAAGCATGTCATCATGAAAAAATTATCAAATTTAATAAATGCAAGGCCTTGTAATGAATTCCATTTGTAAAATTAGACAAAAACAACAAAAAATAATAATCGTAAGGAAAACATTAAGAAATGAATGAAAAAACAAAATTTTAAGAATTTTTTTTTTCTTAAAAAACCTTAATTTTATTTTATTGAAACCCATATAAGAAATATTTAGTCATAAATTAATTTATTAATTTGTATTTAGTTAGACTATAGATGGGTTCAAACTGGTACTTTAACAACAGAATCTTCAATCACTTCTCTATCATGGAATCTTGAAGGAACTAGACTCTTAACGGGAGGGGATACATTACAAATGTGGCACCAAAATATAATTCCAATTCACGAAGACGATTATTCTCACGCAGGACCTGGTGATGGTACTTCAAATGTAACATTCGAGATTGGAGAAGAATGTCATCCAAACATGGGGTAAAGATAAAATGGCGAAAAATTTGGAGGGAAAAAACAAGTTGAATTCATGACGTCATAATTTTTTTTTTCTTTTATAGGTCGAATAACGGTTTAAATAATCAAATATCTAATTTACCCGTGGAAGAAGATTCTCCAGCTTGGGAATGTGTGTGGAGGTGTAAAACATCTGCTCCTGTCACACACATGGCTTTTTCTCCAGACAGTACTCTTTTTGCAACTGCTGGAAACAATGATAGGCTCGTGAAAATTTGGTTTGAAAATAAACATTGTGAGTGTATATATTTTTTATCAAAATCATTAATCAATCAGTTTACGAGTAAAAAATTAAAAAGTTTAAATAAGTGATTATTTTTGTTTTTAGTGTTGTTCCCTACTAAAAGTATGGATCAAAATAATATTTCAAATCAAGTTTCCGTTCATTCAATGCATACTGGAGAAATCAATTTTAGTTTTATTTATATAGCTCATCCTAGAGCCGTAACTCACTTGTCTTGGCGGGAAACTAGCAAATACATGCCTAAGTAAGATAATAGTTATTGTTGACAAATAAGACATTCAATTTGTTTAAATTGTTTTTTTTTGTAATTTTAAGAATTTAAAAAAAAAAAAAATTTTTTTTTAAAGGGGATCCGTTTCTAACATGTTAGTTACATCTTGCAAAGATAACATCTGTAGAATTTGGGTGGAGACAATATTACCCGACGACGGTCTTGTAAATATGTATCAATTTGATCCATTGGCAGCTCAAAATCCTAAATTTAGAACACATAGACACAAACATAGGTTTATGCAACGTTTAAAGCATATGAAGTAAGTTTAACAATGGCGTTTCAAATAATATTTTTTTTCTCCAATGTCTTATTTCCTGTTAATAACTCATGTATTTTTTTTTTATAGAACGTGTTTTCATTTGAGACGAAATGCCAAGCACAATCAAAGTGTTGGTAGTTTACCTCCTGATCGTCCCGTTCCAACACTTCTTTCAACTTATAGTGTTCACGATTTTCATAATTACGGACTTCAAGGAACTGGAATGACTCCAGGTCTTCACTTTCATCTTGCCGCTAGTGTAAACGCAGAAACAGGTAATCACTTCTGTTTTTTTTTTTTTTTTTTTTTTTGACAAAAATTAAGTTTGCCTTCATTTGAAAAATATTTTTTTTTTTTTTCCAGATATTCCATTAGTTCCAAGTTTAGTCACCGGAGATCCTGATCGAGAACCTAATTTTATACTTCACTGGTTAAATAATAATGAAATGCATTTTTCCCAACAAGCCGAAAACATTTTGCAGGAATTGCATCGAAAAATGGCTGAAAAAGAAGATACGGATACTCACATAGATGGTGAACATAATGAAATGATGAATATTTTATTTTTGATTGTTCGATTGTTTGATTGATTTTTGTTTTGATTTTACATAACATAGAAAAAAAATCGACTGTTCAAAAACTTAGCAAATCAGTTTCGCAAGATGAAAGCGGAAGTGATGAACACCCGCAAGGAAGTTATCCGTCTAGTGGAGCTCATTCTCATCAAAGCATAAGTGCGGCAACGTCTACCAATTCCCTTGTAGCTGAAAATGGGCCAACCGTAGGCCACATTCCCGATTCGTTAGATACAAAAATAGATTCCCTTTTACGTGATTGGCACCATAGTCCCGATTTGTTGTATTCCATACATCCAATCGATGGAAGTTTTTTGATTTGGTAATAATTAATAATTTATTGTAAAATTTTATTTCCAGTTCGCGATTTTAATTGTTTTTTTTAATTTTAAGGGTGGTGGAATGGTTGGACGAATATCATTCAGGTTCATTTCGTCAGGCTCAAGTGTCTTTTTCAACTCGCATTCCAAATGCTTTTCCTCTCGGTGACGCAATGACAATGTCGACTCACGTTTACTTATATAATACAAATCATTCTCTTCATTATCGCGAAGTACTTAAACCGGTTGCCTCGAAAAACTTGAGTAAGTTTTAAAAATTTTTATTTTTTTAAATTTAAAAATTAACATGTTTTACAAAATTATTTATTGAAATTTTTTAGAAAATGGTTTTGAAGCTCACGAGCCTTTACTTACACCACTACCGAGTGTCATCGAAGAGGATACCGCGGAATTAAACGACAGCGATTCGCATTTTAAACAAGAGGACGTAGTTAAACCTTCCGGTTCGACATCTTCCACCGGTATTGAATCCGAAGGGGGTAACACCTCCGAAGCTTTGGGTCCCACTCCGCCTGTTATATCCATGGTATCTAAACATTCCAACGGTGAGTTTTGTCGCGATGAAATAATTTTTTTTTATCTTTAAACATTTTGTTGTTATTTAATTTTATTATTATTATTATTTATAGGTACATTAAATTTGTGGCAACTTCAATTTGCTGACAAATCAAAATTTTCACAAGTTTTAAGTATCGGACATGCCAGTAGAGCATCGGGTCATCGCTTTAGAGTTAACGATATCACTTGTCATCCCGTATTACCACTTTTGCTAACAACATCACATCATAATTTGCCTGATTGTCCTACAAAATCCGACAGCGAAATAAAAGAATTGACCGTGCAAACAGTAAAAATAAAATTTTACATTAGTAATTTTTAAAGTTTAATTTTTTTTTAAAGGTTGTTTTTTTTAACATTTTTTTTTTTTCAATAGGGATTCTGCAGTGAATTAATTCTATGGCGAGTCGATGCTGTGGGACCATTATTGAAATCGGGAGGAGTGTCAGAACTTGCTCGAATCAATTCGCCGGAAATTTCCGCGTTTTCAAATGTTGCTTGGATTCCCACTTTGCTCCCGAGCACGACTCTTGGAAACCTCAGCAATTCTCCCAGCGCTTGTTTTGTTGCCAGCGACGGTGAATGTTTACGAGTGTATCAGGCTGTCATCGACGCCAGAACATTATTAGCCGAAGTTTCATCGTCGGAGAGACGCAGTCGCATGATGGTGAGAATTTCGCGACTTAAATTTTTTTAAACAACATAAAATTTTATTAATTTAACGAAATTAAATTTTTTTTAGGATTCGATCGATAGTTTATCCACGGCTGTGTCGTCCGATAATGGCGTCAAACATTCATCCTTACACGATAAAATTAAAATAGTTTCTCAACAATCAACATCCCGACCCGGTTGCATAATACAATTGGATGCCATTGCTGACGCAACTCACGTAAGCTATATATATTTAGTAAAATTACAATGGATTCGTTTCAAAACGTAAACTGAGTTTTTTTTTTTTTTTTTCTGCAGGATTGGCAAAATACGCAGTTTTTACACGTCTTTCAAGAGCAGTTAATCACGGGAGAAAGATGCGAAGTCAGTTCGGATGGAAATAGATTAAGCGAAGAATTGGGATTAATGGAATCACAAATGGGTGCCATGGTGGATTTGCAACAAGCGGCAGTTTTCGAAGAACCATTTTACATCGTGGTATTAGAAAGAACCACCACGGGAACGACGGTTCACATGTGGAGATTAGTGATAGCTTCTCAGCCTACCACTCCTGGTACGTTTTTTTTTTTTTTTTTTTTTTTTTTGGTACGTTTCGTATGGTTGTTATTTTCTAAGGATTAAAATAGGCAATTTTTTGGATTTAGAAATGTCGGGTAGCATGATGTATGTGCCGGATAGTCACATCGTTCAAGATGAAGATGATTTGGAAGCTCACGCTCGCTCCAGCACTCTAGAATCGAATAAATTATTTTCAAACGTCGTTCACGCTCCCCACGTTTTAATAACTACGACCAAAGTAAAATGTTTTTTTTTGATTTTTAAGGTGCCATTTGGAGAGTTTGAATTAAAAAAAAAAAAAAAAAAAATTTTTTTCGTTGTTTATTTAGGTGTGCACTCAAGATTTGTCTTTGCCGGAAGGTGTCGAAGTCATACACGCGTCTCCTGCCGCAGGTCATTTGAGCTCGGCTTCTATTTATCCAGCTTGTTTTGCTCCTTATATAATAGTGACTGCTTGCTCAGACTCAACCGTGAGGTATGTAATACAATATATAATTGTCGTGGAATTTATTTTCAATTAAAAAAAAAACCATGATGTCGAAATTTCGTTTTAGATTTTGGAAATGTAAAATCGGTAAACGTGATAACTCGAACAGACACGCTTTTTCTTACGAATGGTGCGAGTGGGAAATGATTAGAAAAGATCAAGAATCCATGATTGAAATATCCGGTCAACCCCTCAATATATCGGCTGCTTACAGCGGAAGAATCGCATGTGCCTATAAACACGGTAAATCATTTACGAGACCGTCTAAAAATGATCCCGACTCTAGATATGTGAATTTATGCGTTGCTATATACGAATGCGAAAGCACAGGGGGCTCGGAATGGGTAGGTTTAGTGTGACATTTTTTCTTTTTTTTTCTTTGTCGAGTGAATTTTATTAATAAAATTAATTTTAATTTTGATTTAGATTCTCGAAGATACGATTCATTTAAAAAATATACATTTGCCTAGAATAAGAGTGGATCCGAATTTAGATTTGAGCGTTTTGCAAGATCAAAATTACATAAAAAAACAAAAATACGGTTTTAAAAAATCCATATCACAAGATGAACTCCTTTCACCGAAAAATGGTGACATAGGTCACGATTTGCACAAGCCCGTGCCAAGCCTGCTCGCCGTTCCGAGTTTCAGCACTCTTCAAAGTTTAAGGAAAAGTATTACGGATCACGGAAACGTTTGTCCTTTGACTCAAAAACATTTGGTCCAGTTAGATTGGGTTTCCAAAGAAGACGGCTCTCACATTCTCACCGTCGGTGTCGGAAGCAAAGTATGTTTTTTATTTCAAATTATAATGAAAAACTTGAAAAAGAATTTAACGGATTGAAATTTTTTTTTTTTGCAGATTTTGCTTTTCACTCCAGTCTCATCGGATTTGGCTCAGGCAAACATGAAAGCCATGAAAGAATCGCAAACTACGAATCGTCCCATTTTGAGAAAGGCTTCGTCACTCGCGGCACCCAATTTCGTGGATGAAATCAGGTGGATGAAATTGCGACGTATCGATTTGTCGACCGCCGATGGTTTGCCACCTTTACCCATGCAAATCTCTTGGGTTCGCGATGGAATCCTCGTGGTTGGAATGGATAGCGAAATGCACGTTTACTCACAATGGAGATCATCGTGTGAGTTAATTTACGCAAAGTAATTTATTATTATTATAAATAAATTTAAATAGCGTTTTAAAATTATTCATTTTTTTAAAAATAGTTTCGTCGGAGTATAAGCATCAGTCGGAGTTGACACACCAAGAATCTGACGAAACGCTGGATACGAGAAACCTCAGGGATGAAGATTTGAAATCGTTAGCATTGGAATCTTCGCAAAGAAGATTGGCCAACGTGAGCTCTATGCCTCACTTGTCGAGAGTCAGTTCAATAAATTTAACTATGCTTACGGGAACCGAAACGGGGAAAAAAAAGAAAGGTATAAGGTTTGTTTATAAAGGTATAAGGTCAGCATTATTAAATATGGTTTTTCTTTGTACCAGGTAATTTACCAGATCCAGCCACACTCGACTACATGCCCGATTACGGTCTGTTCGAAGCTAGCAGAATAGCATGTCCAGTCCTTCCTCAGTACCATCCGAAACAGTTAATGGAACTTTTAAACTCTGGTAAAATCAGATGGGTCAAAGCAATTCTTGCGCATTTGGTGAGATGCATATCTGGGACTTGCGTCGCCAGAAACTCATCTAAAGGCGATGACGAAAGCATTCGGCAACGTGGTTGGTCGAGAAGTAGAACCCTGTCGGTTAGCTACGCTGGTAAGTTGTACTAATAAAATAAAAAATTAAATTTACCGAGTCTTGATTTTGATTATTGTGATGTATTTTCAGGAGCGACGAGTCCTTTGGAACAAAGAGGTTCAACAACTGCCATACCGGAAGAACTTACTTTGGACTATGCGGAAATAACGTCTATACCGCCGCTACCCCTGTGGACTCTTTTAGCAGCCGATAAAGAAACTGCTTCAAAGACCGCCCAAAACTCTGAGGATCAACAAGATTATAATGATTTATTCGACGGAAGGTTATCCATGGAAGATGAATCTTTGGATGACTACTTGCAAGAAGAAACGGATAACGTTAGAAGAATGGAAAGGAGGCAATCGGGAAATATAGAAAGGCAAGGATTAAGTCACTTTGGTCCGCGACAGGTAAAGTCGTTTTGGGAAAAATTTTTTTTTTTAATTTTAAAGTTCGTCCATTTATTTTATAACAAAACAATTTTTTTTTTTTTTTAGGGTCGCCTTCTATCGCGTCTTTTAACTCACACTCATTTACCGGGTTTGTCGAGCTTGGACCAAATGCATCTTTTAGCATTAGCAGACACCGTATCAACGTGCAATACCGATTTTGCCGAGAGATTCGCTATAGATGCAGCAAAAACTGCTATTGCCAAAGAAAATTTGACGGGAGTACCGCAGGGAGATGAAATTTCAACAGGTTTTTGAATGAATACTAAAAATTATATTATAGAATATTCTAGATAAATATTTTGTGTTAAAAAACTCGCCAGTGACGTGTACAGGGCATTTCACTTAGAAACTAAATAATAATAATAATATTTTAAGTAAAAATGAATTTTTTTTTTTTTTTCTTTAAGATTCTCTGGATGACTGCGGATTGAGATTTTTACTCGCAATGAAGCATTATAATTATTTAATAAAATGTTTGCCTCTTGCTCAAAGAGCTCAATTTCAAAGGCAAGGAATCAGCACGAATAATTTAGTATGGGCTTTTCATTCCGAATCCGAAGAAGAATTACTTCATTTGATACCCAGCTATGCGAAAGGTAGTCCAAAATGGCCCGTTTTAAAAGAGCTCGGAGTTGGATGGTGGTTGAGAAATAATACTCTTCTTAAAACTTGCATCGAAAAAGTAAAATTACATGTTTTTCATTTTTGATTTCTGACTGTTGGTCTGTATGAGTACAAAAATTATTAAAAATTTGTTTGTCGCAGGTCGCCAAAGCATCGTACATGGTTAAAGAAGATCCATTGGACGCGGCTATTTTTTACTTGGCGATGAAAAAAAAAAATTTAGTTTGGGGACTTTTCAGATCGAAAAGAGATCAAAGGATGACGGATTTTCTATCGAATAATTTCACCGAAGACAGATGGAGAAAAGCAGCTTTGAAAAATGCTTTTGCTTTGTTGGGAAAACAAAGGTTCGAACACGCGGCGGCTTTCTTTTTACTCGCGGGCGCTTTGAGAGATGCCATCGAAGTAAGATTAATAAAGATTTTTTTTTTTCTTCTTCTCAAGCGTTTGATAATTATGACATTTTACATTTATTATTAATTTGGGTAAAAATAGGTGTGTCTTAACAAATTGGAAGATTTTCAACTCGCTATGGTGATTGCGAGGCTTTACGAAAGCGAATTGGACGCGACTCCGGGACAGTTAAAACGTCTCCTTTACGAAGAGATACTCGGATGTGACGCAGAAGGGAAAAATTGTGACATGAGTCAAGCTCATCCGGATCCGTTTTTAAGGTCCATGGCACTCTGGATGTTGAAAGATCACGCCGGGAGTTTAAATACTCTTTTACAAACGAATATCGGGACTTTGCATTCTCAGTACAACGACGAAAAGCCGGAGTCGTCGTCGGGTAATAATTATTCCTTTTTTCTTTTTTATTATTACTTGAAATATTTAATACAATAATAATAATATTTACAATTTTCAGCCAATCCGAACGTGTTCAATTTTTACGTGTATTTGAGAACGCATCCGCTTCTCATACGACAATTCATTGCGAGTACGGCTTTGGATAAGAAAAGAACGCAAGTTGTTTTATCCGGTTTCAGTTATAATACGGAATCGAAAATGCCCAGCAATCCGGATAAGCAATTGCTTTTGGAAGATTCGATAACGCCGTTGGAAAGACAATTGTACTTCACCACTGCTCATGCGCATTTCAAAGCAGGTTGTCCCGCTTTGGCTTTGGAAGTTCTTTCAAAGTTACCGAATAAAGTCATCGAGTCGGGCGGAAACGACTCTCCGAGTAAGACATGAGAGATTTTACACCATTTCCCCTTTCACGTTTCCTGTTTCCTCCTTAAAATTTTCAACGTTTCCGACAGGCATATTAACGAGTCCGAACAAGAAAAGAGTACACGATTACCAAATCGATACGGGAATTTTACATTGGGAAAAATCCGAGACTCAAGAACCGTCAAAAATCAATTCTGCGGATTCTGTCGACTGGGTGACTCCCGTTTCGTCTGAAAACTACGACTGGTCTCGCCCAGATTCCTGTCAAACCAGTTCCATGATCGATTGGTAATTTTTTTTAAGCGAAACATAATGTTAAAAATGATAAATGCGATAAAAATTTAATGTGATATAATATTAGGTCTCAGCCTGTTTCCTTAAACGTGGATAAAGAGTTGAAGCTTATTTACGACACGGAAGAAGAAGATGATGATGATGATGAAGATGATCAAATAAGAATGAAAGTAGATGAGAAATTGACATCAAAAGAAGAAGAAGAAGAGGAAGGACAACAACAAAAAAACGAGCATAAAGGTTTTTATTGTAGTAAAATTATTTAGGTGGTCCGCCATTTTTAATTTTTTAAATATAAACTTTTAATTTTTTTTTTTTTTTTTTTTTTTTAGATGAGATATTGGATATCATGGCTCAACAATTGAAATTTGTTGCCTGTCTTAAAATCGTCATGGAAGAATTATCAACTTTGGCAACGGGATTCGAAGTGGACGGCGGACAACTCAGGTATCAGTTATACGTTTGGTTAGAAAGAGAAGTGGATGCGCTCCGACAACTTTGTAATTACAGCAGCGGAGATTCGGAATACAGCGTCGCGGGTGAGTTAAATCAATACATGAATTTATATTTCATTTAAATTTACCATTTTTCAATGCTGTTAACAGAAGACAGCATGATAGAAATGCAAGACGGACGAGAATGCAGTGGAACTCCGACAATGATGAGACCCGGAGAAAGACCGACGCTCCATGAAATTCTCATGGCGGAAAAATTAGATTTCGAAGCAAAAGTCGAGAGAGCAGCCAAACGTAAAAGATGGCTGAAAGGTAAAGGATGAAACGTTCTTTTTTTATAAAATGTCCGCTTTTTGTAAAAAAAAAAAGTTTTTAAAATGTTTTATTTTCTTTTCTTTTCCAGCCAATGAGACGTTGTTAAGAACTCTATTGAGTTATTGTAGTTTACACGGTGCAAGCGGAGGAGGATTAGCTTCCGTGAGAATGGAACTCGTGCTTTTATTGCAAGAACTGCAACAGGAAAAAACTCAGCAACAATTGCTGTCGCCTTTGCCTTTTCCAACTACTTTGCCTCTTTTGTCTGCGAGTGTTGCTTGTAATAAAACCGTCATTGCCGATCCCATTCGACATTTGCAGGTAAATTTATCATCATTATCATCGTGTTTTCTGGTTAAGCGTTTCCGATTATTATCATCGTTAAATATAAATTAATTAGTCTCAAGCTCACGACATGCTTCAAACGATGGTCGAGTTGAGAACTCCTCCTCTACCCTCCAAAAAATTATTCACCGAAGTGTTTGTCCTGCGGGATTTGGCGATAGCTTTGTCCGCTTGCATATATCAAAGCCTTTGCGATTCGGACTCGTTTAGCGTTAAACAGCAATACGACGAGTATCAGAGTCCGGGTATGGAAACTCTTGCTCGGCTCAACGTCATGTATCCCAGCAGTCATTTGATTGGGTGCGGACAAAGAAAAAGAAAATACTCACTCGATGAACCCCTTGAAGTTACCACTCATCCGAATAAATGGCCGGGTAAGATTTAAATCTTTTTTTTTAAAATTCACAAGCTCTTATAAAATTTGACACCGATCGATGACTCCCGTTTCGACATAATTTAGGAGTCACTAATTTACGAGCACTTTTGGCACGGGAAAAAGATGAGGACACCCCGAGATTAAACGTTCTCCTTTGCGAATCCTTCATTGCCACGTACATGAGTTTAATGGTTTACGCCATTTCCACGTGTGATTGTCACATTCTCTACAGGATCGCGGGTCACAAATTTTCAAATGTCACGTGGTCAACGTTGTACGGCGGAGGAGTGAAAAAACTTTTAAGAGCTGCAACAACTAATTCTAGTCAGGTATTCTTAATTCAAAGTTTGATTTGATTTTCATTTTTTAAGGAAAAACTTGAAGGATTTTTTTTTTTTTTTTACCTTTAGTCCGTTAATCAAATTCGTTTGGAAAAGGATCAAAATTCAGAAGGGACGGGAATGTGGAACGCAATGTCATCTCTTACCAAACAACGAGTACGATTAAACATGAAAATTTTAGGACAATTCAGTTCGCAGAGCGGGACTCCAATGATGAAAGAAGACAAACCTACGTACCGGGAACAATTCGTACCCCCGGAAATGTCAATGATCTCATATTTTTTGATCAAGGTGAGAATAAGTTCGTTTCCGATTTGAATCGAATCGAATCGATTTTTTTTTAATCGATCGATTTTCGTTTCAGCCCAATTTGCCAAAAACGGATGCTGCCGACATTGATGACTACGATTCCGCAGACTCGGCAGTGAGCGACTTGGACGAAGATGAGGAAGAAGAAGATGTTTTCGACAATAGTGAAATACTGAAGCGTGACAAGAAGAAAAATCAAGAAAATACGGAACATTCGAATCCGTTCAGTTATTCGTGGGCGATCATGAGGTTGGCCGTTTTGAAATTGGTTCAACTTCAATTGCAAGAATTTCTAACGATTGCGGGTTTGGAAATGCAAGGTAAATATTATCACCGTCGCTCCCCATTTTGACAATTTCCTAATTTTGAAAAATGTTTTTTTTTTTAGAACTTCCTGTTTCTTCGCCCCTCATTCACGGTGTTTTGAGGGGGCTGGCACATTGGCAAGATAGTTTAAAAGAAGATTTGGACTCGAGGGGTCCCGCTCCTGCCGACTACATTCCAGGTTGCTACGTTGAAAGCACCGCAACGGGTCCGGCAATTCATAAATATCGCTCGCTTTTGGAAAAATCAAATACTCCCTTTCAGTTAGTTTAGTTTTGGTGACGTCACGCGAACTAAAAATTTTGTGTTGGTTTTATTAATAATTAATTATTATTATTATTATTATTATTATTATTTCTTTCAGTCGTCACAGCTCTGCTGCACCCGCTTGTCGTTTGTGGTGTTTTCTAGTGCGGCAAGAACCCGTCCAAGACATTTTCATTCGTTGCGTTTTCGGTAAAAAACGTTCCATATCGACACTTTTGGACAACGCCGTGTACGACAACGTTAAAATAAACGGAGAAGAAAGGAAAACGGAAAATGGAACGGTGTCACTTCCGGAACCCGTTCGAATCATTCACAAAGATCAAGAATCTATATCGGCATTTTGTTTAAATCAAGTAATGTTTAAAAATAAAATCATTTCCGGTTGAATTCATTCCGATCATTTCACTCTAATTGTTTGTCTTCTTCTTCAAGGTCACTCCAGGATTTTTATCTTTGGCCAATCCGCGGGAAATTCAAGAAATGGATATTTCTTTACTTCTGGAACTCCCATCTTGGTTGGAAGACGAATGCGAATTCGACATAATTAATTTGAACAAGTAAATACTTATTTGGCTTGTTTTACGGAAAATGGAAAAGGAAGGCACAAAAGTCATTTCGTTTTTTTTTTTTTTTTCTGTAATCAGAGAGCCAGAAACGTTGCCGGCTTCCAGTTACCTAGTCATTCAAACAGCTGCCGACAAGCCTTTGTTAAACCAGGCCGCTCCCACTGGAATAAACATACATTCGGTTCCGGCAAGTCCTCAACCTGGAGGAATGGCCGGTCAAACGGGTCGCGGAGCTTCGGTCGTAAGTAATTCTCGTACCCCTTTACAAACGAAAGACATTTTTTTTTTTTTTTTTTTAACTATCATCTATCATTATTATTATTCTCTTTGAATAATTTTTGGAATTCTTAGCAATCGGCGGATTCGACTTTTTACCACTCGCCGCCATTTTTAAAAAACGAGAGATTAAAATGTTGTTTGCGACGATCGAAAGAGGGGTTTTATTATTATTATTATTATTATTATTATTATTTTTTATTTATTATTATTATTATTATTATTATTATTATTTTTCTTCTTTTAAATTGGGTCAATAGTAATTGTTTTCATTACTTTTTTTTTTCTTTTTTTTTTTTTTTATTTCGTCAGACGTCCCAGTCCGCAAAAAAGTCTTCGTCGGATAAACAAGATAAAATTAGAGTGACAGTAAGATTTTGTTTTTTTTTTTTTGTTTTAAATGTCTCTTAATTTTTTTTTTTTTTTTAATTTTGTGGCTTTGAATAGTTTTGTAAATAATTCTGGGATGATATACATATAACCATCGTGCCTCTCTCTCTCTCTCTCTCTATCTCTCTCTCTCTCTCTCTCTCTCTCTCTCTCTCTCTTTCTCTCTCTCTTTCTCTCTCTATCTTTCTATCTCTCTTTTTCTCATACTTTTTTTCAATCTCTTTTCTTTTTTTTTTTTTCATTTTTTTTTTTACAAATCATTGTGATTTTTTTTTATTATTATTTTATTTTATTTTATTTAAAGCGTAAACGTAAGTGTTTGTTTCCATTACAACAAACGACAACAAACAACAAACAACAACCAACCAAAAAAAAAAAAAAAAAAAAAAAGAAAATTAATTTTAATTGTAATTTTCCCCGAGGGTTTTTCAAATTTTTATTCCTGTTGTTATTGTTATTATTATTAATAATAATCGATTTTAATATTCGGTATATAAATAATGTTTATCATTATTATTATTATTGTTATTAATGTTATTGATTGATTGATTTATCGATCGATCGATTGATCGATTCGATCAATCAATCAATGCTTTTGTTCACGCCGAAATGGTTTTCAATTGATGATTGCACCCTCTAATGTTATTGTCAATTGTTTTTTTTTTTTAAATTGAATTATGTTACATTGTTAAGTAATTATTATGTAATTTCTATGTTCACACGCTGCATTTAAACAAACAAACAAACAAAAACAAACAAAAAATAAATAAATAAATAAATAAAAATCCACGCAGATGAAAGGACTCAACTTTCCTGGATCTCACGATCCATCGTTTTGTCAATTCGTCGTGGACAGATCAAAGCATTTATTAAAACCGGTGAGGGTATTTTAATTAACCCTTTTTCTTTTTGAATCCCACCCACCCCCCCTTTTTTTTTTTTTTTGAATCCCACCCCCCTTTTTTGTTTGTACTCAATTGATGGTATTTTATTTTATTTTTATCATTATTATTATTATTTTTTTTTTTTGGCTCGCTTTTAAACAAACAAACGAAAACAAATTTTTTCTATGTTGTATTATTTGTTTTGTAAAATTAATTAACGACTTTTAACGGGACAATTTGTGCGTGTGCGTGTGCGTGTGCGTGCGTGCGTGCGTGCTAATGGGATTGATGACGCGCGTGACGACGGATGATGACGTTTCGCGGTGGTTTCACCGTGAGAAAAATAGGGAAAATGTCAACGAAAATGATCCGTCACGTAAGAATAATAATAATAATAATAACGAAAGAGTGACTAACTAACGTATTATTTATTAATTAATTGTATTGCTAAATTGCTTTATCCTTTATAATAATAATAATAATAATACTCATAAGAGTTTGTTTTATTATTATTATTATTATTATTATTATTATTATTATTATTATTATTATTTTATAGCTTTTTTTTTTTTTTTTTTTTGTGTTTCGCTTAAATTATCGGCTTAAACAAACACACGCGCGCGCGTTTCGTTTTAATTGATTTGTTTGTTTGTTTGTTCTTACATCCATTTGGATTTTGATTTGTAGGTATTAAAGCATAAAGTCGATGGTATAAAACGTATGAACGCTCATCCACTCCTTCCTCTCTGTGAGTATCTACCTATTTATTTATTTTGGAAAAAAGTTTTCCGATTTTCTTTAACGGTTATGATTCGTCGTTAGATTTGACGGGTTCGCAAGATGGTTCCGTGCAAATGTGGGAATGGGGTCACACTCAACCCGTGTCAACGCCGAGATCAGCGGGAACATATGCGAAAGTGACGAGAGTCAGATTCAGTCAACACGGTAATAAATTCGGCGTCGCGGATGGCGATGGAAAATTGAGCCTCTTTCAAGTCGGTTTGTCGACAAACGAAAGCAGATCTTTCTTCGTAAGAATAATAATAATAAAGTTTGAAACCCGGAGAGGGGGGGGCAGAAGGAAGTGACGTCATTTTTTCTTTTTCAAGTCCTATCAGTGCCATAACAAAGTCACGAGCGATTTTGTTTTCCTGGGATCTTGTAGCATGGTAGCAACGGCGGGACACTCGTCGGAGAGTAAAAACGTCGCCATTTGGGATTCGCTTTTACCAAAGAAGAAAGCCATGGTCGCAGGTCGGTTGTCGTTGTTGTTGTTATCTTAACAAACGGGATTTAAAATGAATGATGATGGGGATGATTTTTTTTGGGTTTTTTAGCTTTCATATGTCACGAACAAGGTGCATCTAGTCTTGTGTTGGCTCCCCAGCATCAATACGTGATTTCAGCCGGGAAAAAGGGTGACGTGTGCATATTCGACGTGAGACAGAGAACGCTGCGTTTGAAATTTCAAGCACACGAATCCGCTATAAAATGCCTTGCCGTTGATCCCATGGAAGAATTTTTCGTCACGGGTTCAGCAGATGGCGACATTAAGGTAATTCGTGGACGAGGATTTGCTTTTTTTTCCAGCAAGCGTTTGGGATTTTTAATTTTTTTCCTGTCGCTGTTGTTGTTGTAGATATGGAGCCTCGCAAACACGAATTCGAGTCACACTTTGTATTCTTTTCCCGGAGAACACGCGAGATCTTCCTTTTTTAAAAATGTCGGACC